TCAGTAGATTGAGCGCGGGCTGCGAACTAAAGTGTCGCAGGTTCGATTCCCAGTCAGGCCACATACCTGGGTTGCAGGCTATGGCCCCCAGCAATCGCACATTGATGTTTCTCTCTCTCTCTCTATCTCCCTCCCTTTCCTCTCTAAAAATAAATAAATAAAATCTTTTTAAAAAATGTCTCTCCAGTATATTGCAGTAAGATAAACTTTAAACACATGTACGTAGTGCATTGCAATCATAAAAACACTTTGCCAAACACAATCACATTTAGATTAATTAATTTCTCCCTAAAGCTCATCTGGTAAGGATTACTGTTATCTCTGATTTAGTAATGATCATTTAGTGATGAGTTCATTTAGGTTAAATGAACTGCTGAAGAGCACTGGCTGGAAATGCACAGTTCTTTTTTTTTTTTTTAATCTTACGATGGATGTGTCTAAAGCACGCCTCCACTGTAAGCCGCTGTGGAAGTGCTTTGCCTTGATCCAGCCCCCCAAATGGAACATTTAAGATCATGTTGGCCTTTACTCTATTTTGCTCTCCTAAGTATTATGACAGAAACTGCCAGAGAAGGGTTGCTCGAACTGCCAGTAGCACCCAAGGGTTTGAGCGAGATCCAGCCAACCTGGCCCTCAGAGTGCCGAGAACCCAGGTGTCCTCTTTTTTAAATTAAATTTATTGGGGTGACATTGGTTAATAAGATCATATGGGTTTCAAGTGTACATTTCTATGATACATGATCTGTATATTGCATAGTGTGCCCACCACCCAAAGTCAAATCATCTTCTGTCATCCTATTTTTGGCCCCATTTACCCTTTACTACCACTCTACCTGCCTTCCCTCTGGTAACCACCATTCAGTTCTCTGTGTCTTCAGTCTTCTATCCCACATATGAGTGGTATCATGTGATTCTTGGCTCTTTCTGATTGACTTATTTAGCTTAGCATGATATTCTCTAGGTCCATCCATGTTGCCACAAATGGCAGTGTTTCATTTGTTTCTTATGGCTGAGTAGTATTCCATTGTACATGTGTACCACATCTATTTTATCTAGTCTCTATTGAAGGACACTTTGGCTGTTTCCATGTCTTGACCACTGTGAATAATGCTGAAATAAACATAGGGGTGCACATATCTTTCTGAATAAATGCTTTAGAGTTTTTTGGGTAGATACCTAGAAGAGGGATTTTTGGGTCATATGACAGTTTAGTTTAATACTTTAGGAGCATATACAGGCAAATATCTGTTCCTTCATACTGACACTAAATACTTTACAATACAGCAGATGCAAGTTTAAAAAATGTAACTGCTAACTTTAAAAAGGAAAAACTGCACTGTAACTTTTAAAAATCATAACCTTTGGAAATAGGGTAAGAGGATTATTTTCCTTTACTTTTAGCATAATATTGGGCAAAATAACAACAAAAGTCAGCATTTATTATGCACTACTATATATGGACATTATTTCAATTTTATTTAACTTCAACAATAACTTTGTAGCAAATATTATTCCTAGTTTTCAGATTAGGAAACTGGGGATTAGAGAGGCTAAGCAACTTCATTCATTCAATGCACATTTATTGAGCACTTAATGTTTAACAACTGGGAAAACAACAAACAAAACGTGGAGCTTACAACCTGGAGGTTGATGGGAGTAGTGAATAAGTAAACCAATATGTACATAACATAACGTGTGGAGCATTGCAGTGTAATGAAGAGAAGTAAAGTGGCACAGGGATGAGAAGGCTGTATTAAGGTAGGTGGTACGGAGTGCTCTCTGAGAAGATAAGTGGGTAGAGCCCGGAAAGAGGTAAGGAAGTGAGATCTGTGTGAAAGGCACTCCCACTGCAGAAGAGCAGGAGCAAAGGAGAAAAAGCAAGGAGGCCAGTGTGGCTGAGGCAGAATGAATAAGACAAAACTCTGGCTCTTTGTTAAGTGGGATGGGAAGCCATTGGAGGATCTGAGCAGTGACATAATCTGATTTACATTTTTTTAAAAATTCACTTTAGAGATAGAGAGGAAGGGAAAAAGAGAGAGAAACATTTGTTGTTCCACTTACACATTCATTGGTTGCTTCTTGTATGTGCCTTGACCAGGAACTGAACCCACAACTTTGGCATATGGAGACAATACTCTAACCCACTGAGCTGTCCAGCCAGAGTTGATTATTAGTTTTAAGAGATTACTTAGGCTGCTGGCTGGGGAATAGGCTATAGAGGAACAAGAGTAGAAGCAGGGTGGGTGACTTGTTAGCAGCCAACTGCAGCAGTCCAGGAAGCAGATGCTGGGCTTAGGCTGATAACAGTGGAGATAGTAAGGTTGTACCATTCGATCTGTATTTTGATGATTTCATGTGTTCATGGTAGAGATGAGGTTATATTTTGAAGATGGAACATACAGGATTGCAAAAGTTCACACAGCTAGTGAGTAGAAGAGCCAAGATTCCTATCTAAGTTTGTCTGATTCTAAAGCCCTGCTTATAACAACTCTTTCAGGCTGCCATAATGCTAAGCAAACACTAAACACGAAAAAGCAAAATGAAAGTGAAAGTACATAACATCATCAAGCGTTAGTTGAGCACCTGCACGCTTGAAGTAAGGCCTTGTGGCCACAAGGCAAAAAACTCTGGACTGGGTGGATAGATCAGAGTTCAATTTCTTTTGCCATGGATTCTTCCTCAGTGTGGGTCACATGATGTCTAATGTCCCTCCAGTTTTAATGTTCAGTGTTCCTACTATTCAGCACCTGGGGAGATACAGCTGACTGTGTACCATGCCGCCCACAGGTATACATGGGAAGATAAGACTGATAAGCCTGTGATTAACATACTGAAAAGGTGGCAAGACCAGAGACTGTCTTTTCGGCTTCAATACTATTTGGTTTAATAAAAATACTTTGTTGCAGTATATTACTTTCAAGTAAAAGACAAAGCAAGTCTATGCATAGTGTCATTCCAACTTACAGGGTATACTAGAATTTTATGCCTCATTCATCCAAATATTCAAGCAGTCAGTCATTTCCTTAACAAGCATTTAAAACTTACTGAGTATTAGGCATGCTCAGTAACATTTATTGAGCAGATCTTGGTGAAAAAAGATCTTGATAAAAAGTTAAAAACGAAAAAGAGGACTTTTTAGACTACATGTTGATTTTTAAGACTTTACAACAATCTTGTAAGGTGTTGTTGTCTCCTCTTTTACGCACATTATAGAACTAGGAGCAGTTCAATCACTTGGCCAAGGTGGCTTACTTGGTAAAGTAGTGAGCACAGTATACAAATCTGGGTCTGTGGACTTTTTGTCTTATCACATAGGATTCTATGAGAGCAATCATGGGCTAGCTGAAGCATAGGACAGTGTGTGTGCTGTATTAATCAATCTGAAAGAGTCTGGCACTGGGTGATCAGTGACATAGAATAGAGGTCAGCAAACTTTTTCTGTAAAGGGCCAGATAGTAAGTAGAGCATCATACTGTCTGTGGCCACTACTCAGTTCTGCCCTTATAGCCCAAAAGCAGTCATTGACAGTATATAAATGAACAAGCATGAATGTGTTCTAATAGATTTCATTTATGGACATTGAAAGGTAAATTTCATGTAATTTTCACTTGTTGCAAAATATTGTTCTTTTGATGTTCCCCCTCAATCATTAGAAAATGTAAAAACCATTCTTAGCTTGATTGCTGTACAAAAACAGACTGTATTTAGCCTATGGGTTTGTGGTAGTCATTTTGGGCTTATGATACTGTGATTTATAATAAGAAATACGCATTAGGTCTTCTACTCCATTCATGGCACAGAGTTCCTAAAACCCTTCTAATTCCCCCTTCTCAAGGGAGGGGAGAGGGATTGGAAGTTGAATCAGTTATCACCAATAACCAATGATTTAGTCAAACATAATTATATAATGAAACCTTAAAAAAAAACCCCAAAGGACAGGGTTTGGAGAGTTTTTGGGTTGGTGAACCCATGAAGGTGCTGGGGGAGTGAGGTACCTGGAGAGGGCGTGGAAGCTCTGCACCCCTTCCCACATATTTTGCTCTTCCATCAGGCTGTTCTTGGGAGAAAGGGACTTTTTATACTCACCTTTTTGTCCCTTTCTGCCTCACAGTAGTTGCTATATATCTATATCTATGTCAGTATCTATCTGTATCTATTAATAAACAACATTAACAAAACTGTGGCCATTTCTGCTTGTTCCCTGTGGTATTATTCTAGTTTGCAACCCCTACTAAATGCTCAGTACATTCATGTCAAAGACATGGGATAACCAGGATGATTTTTTAAAAAAGGTTTTACTTATTTTTGGTGAGGGGGAAGGGAAGCAGAGAGGGAGAGAAACATCTACGTGTGGTTGCTTCTTGCATGCCACCTACTGGGGATCTGGCCCTCAACCCAGGCACCTGCCCTGACTGGGAATCCGACTGGAGACCCTTTGGTTTACAGGCACGCTCTCAATCCATTGAGCCACACCAGCCAGGGTTCAGGATGATTTCTTAACCACCCACCACACCAGCACCCTGAACACTATCTTTGAGAGAGAGAAAGTGCTGGTTCGGAACCCCAAACTCCAATGCTCCCTAGGTAACAAGCCTTGCAACCATGAAGGCATCTTCCTTTCCCTCTGAGACCTTAGCATCCAGTCCTTCAGATAACTTTCTTTCACCTCATTCTTTGCAGTTTTCCTAGGCTTTGGTATGCTTTATATACTCAAAGTTTTAATTTAGTAGTTGACGCGGAACTTTTCTTATTTTGGTTACAGAACCCGCCCCCCCCCCCCCCCCAAGAGGAAGACCCTTGGCAAGAGAAAGCGAGGAGTTGGAGGTAAGGCACTTTGGATCAAAACTGGGGAGACCCGGTCAACTCCAGAGGGAGCAGGGCCTCAGTTTGAAGCCGGGGCTTGAGAGCCGATGACCCCACGTGACCCCGGGGGCCCAAGGCCCGGCCGACCCTGCCCCCGCCCGTCCCGCCGGGGGAGCGGGGGGACGCATGCGCAGCCTGTGTTAGTGATGGAGGAGAGAAGATGGCGGAAGCGGAGTGAGTGGCTTGCTGGTGACTGATGTCGTAGCCGGGGGGCGAGTGGGGGCAGCGACATGTTCCCCAAGGGGAATGCTCAGGGATCTTTTGCGGGCAATGCAGGGAAGGGGAGACCCGAGAGCTCCCTTATCGTGGAGGAGCCCGTTTGGCCCCGTGGGGGGTTGTGGGGAGGCGACCTGTAAGGGTCCTGTTACCTCCAGGCGGGAGCGCCTCCTCCGCGGACTGGTCCCGGATCAGCAGGGCACTGTGCCCGGGGTCACCGCTGGGCCCCGGCAGTTGGGGTCTTCCGAGGGACAACCCCTGTGGGCCTCTCAGGTGCTGTCATCCCTGCAAGTGGGCCCCGCGGGCAGCCTTGTCAGCCGGGGGCCTGCGGAGGCTGCCCAGGGCTGGGCGGGCACTGCCAGGCCTCCTTCTCGCTCCCCTCTTTCCTGCTCCAATGCCACCCCACTCCTCTGCGGGAGAGCCCTAGACGTGGGGGCTGCCCACCCCTCCCCCGGGAAGCGTGGAGTAGGTGTCCCGGCGTGGGCCTTACAGTGGCGGGGGCTTCCGTGGGTCTGGCCAGGCTGAAAAGACTCTGGGAAGGGAAGATCTTTCCCTCGGGTCTCTGGCTGCAGTGTTCATGCGTCCCTAGAGGGCCACATTCTTGTGTGGCTGTGTGATGGTATGCATAGTTAGGGACGCAAACTTAGTATTGACTGGTAGGCCTCTTGTGCACCGGGGCTGCCGACTGTGTTTTGCAGGCGTTGCTGTGCACAGACGGTGGAGTTACACAAATTGTTCTTTTGTGCCAGGTATCCAAAGGCTTTTCAGTGGTTTGGCCGGTTCCGCTCACCGATGTTTAGAATTGTGCCTACAGTTTGGATTCTCTGTGACCATTTTTGGTTAGTTACTGAACTGCTTATCGTAGGGTTTGGGTTTGAGGGTATGGCTGAGCGGATTAGCACTCTAAAGGGACCAGAATTTAAGCTGGCTTTTTGGTATCACTGGTACGAGGTTCAGAAGTGTCTTGACAGCCGGTAGTTTGGAAAAAGTTTACCTTATCTACCACTAAATCTCTATGATGTTGAACAGTGATCGTGAGATGCTGTGATTTGATGACTGGAAGGCAGTTTGAAAAACTATTTAAAAAACCAACAGAAAAGCCTAACGATGTATGAGTCATTTACTAATCAAAGAAGTAAGTGTAGTCAGCTTTTGTCCCCCACTTTTTTCCTTTCACCACTTACTAAATCGAGATTTTTAAAAAACACTTGATTCTCTGAAGAGCATATAAATACTATTTACATGAGTGATGTAAAGAACAAAGAGAACTTTTACATAAAAGGACACGGTATGGGAATGGTGTATGCGTGCACAATTAGTACCAAATTCCTTTGTCTTTTCTTGAAGTAGAAAGTGTTCTTGTTACATTCTTGTCAATGCTGCTAATATGAGGCGGGCCAGATTTTGCTTCTCTGAAGAAAGACGGGTAAGAAGGGTAGATAAAACCAGTATGTTCTTGTGCGCTTTTCACCATTGTGGTACATTTCTCACCCTACACAAACACTACTTGTAGTTCTAGTTTCTAACAACATTGAGGCCCTCAGAATTGATTTAAAATGTTAGAATTTATTCAGATACAAATTCCATATGTAATGGAATTTTATACAATAGTGAAGTGAGTTTATATATATTAGAGGGGAAAATATCAGAGTCTTGTACAAAAATGTGCTTTACTGTCCATACCTGAGGAAAGTGGTATAATTATGCTGTTTTCAAGATTTGGGACAATTTGTGAAAAAGATTTTTTTGGTAAGGAAGTGGGGAAATAGTTGTCAGCTTCTCTATTTATGCAGTCAGAGTAGTCTGCTAGAAAGTCTAACTCATTCTCCTTATTAGACTTAGTAAAGACAGTGTTATAAAATTGTTCAGGAAAAAGCCAGTGTGATTTTTAACATTTTTTATTACCTTATTTTGTAAGAGAACTTCTTTTTAAAGCAAGTGTATATGGTAACCAAAAACCAAGCTAACTCCCATGAGCCCTTAGGCACCGTATTTTAATATATAGATAAGAATGACTTTAACTTATAATTAGTATAGTCAAAATAATATAAACATACAAGTGCATATTTTAAAGTACTCTGATATTGTTTGAGTATTTATTTGCCTAGGCAGTTTAGTATTCACTCATCACCTGTTTTGGTTTCAAGACAGTCATCTTCTTTTGATAATGAAAAGTTAAACTTGAGGCCATACTTTTATCTGACTCATATATCCTGAACCATTTGAATTTAAATTTAGTTGGCATTAGGTATTAAATGTGGTATATATTTGTGAAGTACTTTTTCTTTCAAAGTGTTTATGGTGACTGTGTGCTATCTGTGTTTTGAGGGCCTTCTTAGAAACTTAGACTGTTATTTCTTTGGAATTATTAAGTGTTCTTTAAGACACATCAGATAATGCTTTTGCCAATACAAACCCTCTGTGTTGTCTGCCAGACTTAAGGACCACAGTACAGCTATGGATAGTGAACCAAACCCTGGAACATCATCTGCGTCAACAACAACCAGTAGCACCACCACTACCACCATCACCACTTCATCCTCTCGAATGCAGCAACCACAGATCTCTGTCTACAGCGGATCAGACCGACATGCTGTACAGGTATTTCAGTTATAATGGTGGGTAGGCTGGACTTAGGATGTCATTACTTTTGCTTATGCCTGGTGAATCTCCTGTTTTGTATCCAATGAATTAAATGGTATCCTCTAAATAAGTACAGTTAGAATTGTTAATGTTTGAAATAGTCAAAAAGTTACTTTGTTTTACTGTGTAGAATGTGCACTTTTTTGCTCAAATTTTTGAGGGAAAAATAAGATGTGCATTATCCATGGGTATAATGAATACATGCCATGGACATAATAATCCAGTGTACAATGCACACCAAAACATGGGTGTGCATTATACACAAGAGTGCAATATACACGGCAAAATACAGTGTTTAATGTGTTTAATAATCATTCTATTGAGAGGGCTTATACTTGTCAGAGTGTGGCTTATAATTGGAAGGTCTCTGGCAGCCACTACAATGTGGAGTCCCAACATGCAGAATGACTCTAAGTTTGGGGGGTTATTTTATGTTTGAACCCATAATACAGATTTAGGGAGATCTATTCAGGTCTGTAGATGTGTTAAGAGGTTTGTTTTTAAACCTAAGTGATCTAAGAACCCTAACTGGAAGGATTTATTCTAAAGCTCTTAGAGGCAGAGGTACAAAGGAATATTTAACTAGGAAAAATATTAGGCTTTTTGGTTAGTTGATAAAATGAAGTTTACTTGGTTAACCTTTATAATAATGGAAGTTGAGGCAATCTGGTATTGCATGAAAAGAGCATGGGCGTTGCAGTCTGCTGTGCTCTTTGAGTTCCAGTTTCTTTATCATTAGTAGCTATGTGGTCTTGGGTGGGAACCACAGTAGCCTAAGGAAACTGTAAAATGAGGATGAGACCATCTGCCTCATTAGCTACTATGAGGATTAAAGGAAGCATCTAGGTCTATGTGGACACATTAAATGTAGTAAGTAATAATCACTAACATTTACTGAACAATTGTTACAGGCCAAGCATTTGATAAATGTTATGCATGGATTATTAGATACTACTATTATCTCCATTTTACAAATGGGAAAACTGATGTTTTAAGTAGGCTAAATAACTTTCCTAAACTCACAAAGCTAGTAGGTTCTCTCATTTTAGAGTTGTGCCCTTATCCACTTTGTGGGTTCTTATATTTTCCATTATACCAGCTTATTCTCATTACATTCCCCATAATTGTATTGTACCCTGAAAATAACTTGGCAGTGTAGTCCTCTCCCTTTTCATTTTTCTAGAGTGGATATTCCGGGATAGTGGTTATTTAACTGTTGTATGGTTTAGGATTCTGAAGTTACCATGGGTCAGAATTGTTGGAGACCCAGTCAGTTCAAAAGTTCAAACTGCGATGCAGAATGTGTTTTTAATGATCTTCATCTTTCCCTGAGGCAAGGGGTATAAAGAACAGTATCTAGATCTTTTAACATACAGATGACATATTTTAATATGCCATTTTGTTCTCTAGTTTGTTCCTGAGCTGGATGTGTTAATAAAAAATAGTGTTATATACAGCAGAGGGAAAATTGTTGGTTATTATCAACAATGATAACTTTGTATGGTGATAGAAGATTACTAGACTTGTATTAGTGATCACTTTGTAATGTATATAGATGTTGAATTATTATGTTGTACACCTGAAAGTAATATATTACTGTACATCAACTATAATTGTAAATTGTTACTGGAAATGCATAGATACAGATGTATCTCACAAATAGCACTAACACTAGTTTGTATGATATCATAGAATTGCTTCCCCTACAATACGGTCAAGTCAGTATTGAACTACGTAAGTAGTTCTTTAATACCTTCCAGCTTTCTTTTTTAGTCCTGTGAATGTTCTTTATTTTCCTGGTTCCTTTAGAGGAACAAATAAGAACAATGTGCTATATCTTTAACTTGTATTTAAAAAGTCTCTCTCCCATGAGTGTAGCATTGAATGCTAATGAAACACTATGCTGACAGTAGAAAAATCACTACACTCTGACAAAAGTGTCTGTCAAATAGATTACTCATTTGTTATGGAATTAGAACATATATAGACTTATCTGAACGAAAGACATACTGTTATAATTCTGAACTACTTAATGTTGGTGTATAATCCCCTGCAACTAGGGCTCAGAAGCCTCCACTGACTTTGGACAGGAGTCTGTAGCAAGTGTAGAACCCTGTGGTTGGAGAGATGAGATATGAATGAACACGTGAAAACAAACACCACCAGGAAATGTGCTTCATTGGAATTTGGATAAACAGATGCATGGCTTTTTGGTTCAGGGTGTCCTGACTCAGACCCTAAAGCTGTAGGTTATAGCTTTATTACTCCCTTAGCTTTTTTCAACTTGTCGGCTTGGTGCTGGTGTGAGGGTTCTGTGCTGTTTCAGAACCACCGTGGGCATGGTGTGACTTCAGGATGTGGTTATAGAGGACTGGCATAGTTTGACTTACTGGTTTGGACAGGTAAAGGATTTTCCTCTGTGATTACAATATTTGATTTTTCTACATTTATCTGTTTAGGAAATTTCAGGCTCAGATTTTATATTTTCCTAATAAATAGTCACAGTAACACTTTTTCAGAAAAATTTTTTTTTAGTAAGAACAGTTTTATTCTATAATATATTGAAACAATTGAAACAAGGAATCTGACACTTAAAAACATTTTTACATATTTGAAATATTATATTTGAGGTAGTAATTAGTAATTTCCTAAAAGGTAAATTGCTTTGTGTAATTTATGTGATTATTAATATACCTACTCATTTTAAGGTTTTTTTCGGACATTTAAATGAAAGTATAAACGAGAGGGTAAAAATCACCCCAATCCAGTTACCCATCAGTAGTCTTTTAATGTTTTACTGACTATTCAAAATTTTTAAAATAAATAAGACATTTACTCTCTACACTATTTAGTAACCTGACTTTTTTTTCACCTTATGATATATTTGGGAATTCTCTTTGTTAATAAATATAGATATATGTGTGCTGTTCAATGCAGTAGCTACTAGCTGTATGTGGCTATTTATATTTAAATTAAAATTAAGTAAAGTTAAAACTCAATTCCTTAGTTGCACCAGCCACATTGTAAGTGCTCAGGAGACACACATGGTTAGTGGCTGCTATATTGGACGGCACTGATGTACAGTACTGTTTGCAGAGGCTGCAGGGTCACACACATTCTCCTCTGTAGCCAAGCTCTGAATTCCACCCTTATTCAAAACGCTTTTACCAGTTTACATTCTTACAAACATTTATGAGAGTATCTCTTCTCTCAGTTAGTAGTAGTATCTTTTTAAATCTTTATACATCTGAAAATTGGAAAATAGTGATCCTGTTTTAATTTGTAAATTGAGTCGACTAATGAGATTGAAGATCTTTTCAAATGCTTGTTTGGCCCCGTTTTCTTTTGTGAATTGTCTATATACCAGGTAATTTTAATTTGTATAGATTTAATTTGCACGATCCTAGTGTTATATAATTTAGAACTATGTTAATAAACTCCATGACATTGAATATTAAATTAGTGAAATTTTAAACTTTCTTTTTTAATACTTTATTTTATGGTTAATATTATGGTTTGATATTGGTTCACTTGACTTATCACAGGTAATTCAACAGGCATTGCATCGCCCCCCCAGCTCAGCTGCTCAGTACCTTCAGCAGATGTATGCAGCTCAGCAGCAGCACCTAATGCTGCACACTGCAGCTCTTCAGCAGCAGCACTTAAGCAGCTCCCAGCTCCAGAGCCTTGCTGCCGTTCAGGTGAGACTGAAACAAATGAAGACTTACGAGGCCAAAGTTGACATTGTTTGCAGATAGTTACAGAAAATAAATAAATTGGGTGTTATTTCAGAGTCCAAAGATGTCATGATAATTTTTTCTTGAAGAACTATAATAGGCTGCCAAGTGGAAGTTAATTTAAAAAATAGTAGGTATGTTTTTTGTTACTCTGTTGTTAACTTTTTGTCTCACTGCTTTTTATCTGCACTGCAGAAATGCTATGCTAGTGTCATGATTTTGTGTGTGAAATTCCAGGTAGAAGAGTGAATACTTAGGGTTACATGAATTGTATTTACATTTTAACAAAAAGAGGCTTTTTTCAGTGTGCATATAATTTATACTTACTTAAAGATAAAACAGTATAAAATTGTTTGTAAGAGGTAAAGCGGAAGTATTCCTTTCCTATGCTCACTGCTATTTTCCACTCTTCAGAGGTGGCCAGCAGACCAGTTTCATATGTATCCCTCCAGAGATTTTCTGTATAAAGATATGCATATGCACCTTTCTAAAATCTAGTCATACTGATAACAGGATGATTTTAACGATTAAATGCTTGTGTTTTAAAAAATATTTTCATTATTCTATTTATTTAAATAAAATTATATGTGAGGTTTAATCTTAAATCTTACTAGAGGAGGATCTCACTTGACTGAACCTGAAAAAGGTTTATTTTTATTGTAAACACATCCCCAGCTGGTGCTTTTTTGGTAGTGTGATTTTAAATAACATCCCGTTCATGATTTGAGTTAGGAAACTGAAACCCACTGGCATTTCATGTCGCTTCAGTTTCTTTTTTGTAACATTGGAGTGGTGATTCCACTTCAGAGAAGACAGAGGCCTGTAGAGTAAAACCGACAATGACTGCAGCTATTAAAATAAGATTAGCCTTTGGGTCCTCTGTTTCCACCATTCATCTTTTTTGTTTTTTTCATAATCTGTTTGGCCAAAGCTTAATCCATGTTGACTGTGAAATTAATTGGTTCATACATAGACACTTTGACTCTTATTGTGGTTTTGCGGTATCCTGGCACCAGAATGTTTTTAACTTTAGGTTTTTATAGACATATTATAAAGATCTTATTATTTTAGGCAAGTCTATCCAGTGGAAGACCATCTACGTCCCCCACAGGAAGTGTCACACAACAGTCAAGTATGTCCCAGACATCTGTAAGTGCCTCCATTTTTTTCCCTGGATTCAAAAATTTTAATTATCTCTTTCCAAAAGTAAACCACTAATATTTGCGAAGCTGTGAATTGTATGTTTTTTGAAATGCTATTTAAGTAATAAGTACCTAGAAATAAGAATGATATGGTTTAAGAATTCAGAACTAATGTTAAACTTCTGAAAATCTGAGCTTAAAAATATTTTTGTATTACTGCTTATTCATGTTTTCCAACTGATTGTATTCAGATCTGTTGTGGTTCTAAATGATTGCATTTTTCAGTATGTATCAAAAACCTGAAATGTACAATGCAGGGGTGTATTATACTGGAGAACATCATATCCCTGGTAGACATCCAAATGTTTCTATCCTTTTCTGTGAAATTCACATTTTAGAAACTATCCTTTCCAGCTTATACTTACTTGAGTTATCTGGGTCAAATTTACAAGTATCCACTCAATAGTGTAATTTATTTTGAGAAAGGAGTAAAAGAAAGCTGGTTTGCTCTATTGCACATATAATAAACTAGGAAATTGTGCAAAGGTTCCTAGTTAAAAGAAGTTTACAGGTGTGGTAATACTTGTTTAACTTTTTATTTTGATATAATTTTAAATTGTAAGAATAAAAAAATACTCAGATTCAACAATTGTTAGCACTTTGGCTTATTGCATTATCATTCATTTTTCTGTCTACATATTTACATATTATCTTTTTCTGAACCGTTTGTGGGTAAGTTGAGACACGTTCCTTTACTTCTAAGTATTTTGATATGTATTTACAATACTAAAAACAAAGTCATTCTTTTACAAAGCCACATGAAAATAATCAAATTCAGGAAACTTAACATTGATACAATGTAGTGTATGTTAAAATTTCATAGTTTTCTCAGTGTCATCATTATAGATGTTTTGGACCAGATCACTCTTCTTTTTTTTTTTTTTTACCTTTTTTATTTATTGATTTTAGAGGGGGAGAAAGGAAAGGAGGGAGGGAGGGGAGAGAGAGAGATCGGTTTGTTGTTCTACTTATTTATGCATTCATTGGTTGATTCTTGTATATGTCCTGACTGGGGATCGAACTTGCAACCTTGGAGTATGGGGATGGTGCTCTAACCAACTGAACTACCAGGTCTTGGCTGGACCAGATAATTCTTTGTTTTCCGGGCTGTCTTGTGCATTATAGAATGTTTAGCAGCTTTCTGGCTTTTCTTCACTTAGATACCAATAGATGGTGGCCCTCCTTCCTCCATTGTGACAGCCAAAAATGTCTCTAGGTACTGTCTAATGTTTTTGGGGGGCAAAATAGTCCCTGGTTGAGATCCATTGGGTTAACTTTATAATATCCTTTTTAGCTATATTTTCCTGATCCAGTGTGGTTAATACTTTGATGCTTTATAAAATTAACTCCAGCAGAGTATAGTGAGTTGATTGCTAAGGAATTGAAGATGAACTTGTACTGTACTTCTTTAGCTAAGGGAAGTATCCTGGAACATAATAAAACTAATTAAAAAAATTACTTATGACTTAAAAATGTTAGACTGAAGAAGATGAAAAATCTAAGTAATGTAATCTGGCCCTAGGCAGTAATGCTATGATTATGGTTATTGATGTTAGATATGTCTTTAATTAATACATTGGTAGTTAAAGAAAGGACTAGCAAATATTTTGGGGGCTGGTTAAAAACATTGTAGATAAATTCTTTATTCCATGAAATTGTAGAATAACATCAGATGACGTAGAGATTAGTGTTTTTTAATTTCTTCCCTCACATTATTAAAAGACATCCTTTTAAAACTATTTTTCTCTCATTATGGTTTTAGTTATGCAACTTTCACAGAAATTACAACTTCAGTGACTCTGTTAGTCATTATTAGTGCTACTTACCATAAATCAGGCAGCTTTGTGTGATAAAGTATGCCAGAACCTGAGTTCTGAGTGGATGGTGGGGAAAAAGAAGTAGGGAAAATGAATAAAAGAAGGAATAATATATCACATTTGTTTTACTTTCTTTCTTTTTTAATTCTCACCTAGGGACATTTTTTCATTGCTTTTGGAGGGGGTAGTGAGGAGAGAGACATCAGTGTAAGAAATGATGATTGGTTGCCTTCTGTACACTCCCCAACCAGGGATCAAACACAAGGCCTAGATGTGCCCTGACTAGGAATTGAACTTAAAACCTTTTGGTGTATGAGATGATGCTCCAGTCAGCTGAGCCACACTGGTCAGGGTCACACTTATTTTCTTTTCTATCCCAGCTGAGCAGTAGCTCAAGTGAGGACTAGCAATTCAAATTATAATACCCAAGGTTGCTTAGAAAATTTAGGTAAAGCTCTAAAAGAGAGGCAGCGCATGGTAGCAAATCTTAGATAGTGATCATAATGATCCATTAGGTAGCAGTCTAGTAGTTTTCAGAGTTTTGGTTATTTTGATGTAGGTTTCCAGATAAAAGTGAAAGCTGTGGGAAATGGTCCAGCCTCTGGTAGAAAAAAAGTGTTACAAGGTAAGTTGCCAAATTACCAGCCAGATAGGTTGGGATTAGAGTAGGAGTGAGATCCCAATGGGAAAATGGAGCATTATATGTGTTTTTTAAAAATAGAGTCACCCTGGCCAGTGTGGCTCAGGTGGTTGGAGCATTGTTATGTAGTCCAAAAAGTTGTAGGTTCAATCCCAGTCAGGGCACATACCCGGGTTGCTGGTTAGATCCCCATACGAGTCAGGATGCATACGAGAAGACAACCAATCAGTGTTTCTCGCATCAATGTTTTTTTCTCTCTTTCTCTCTTTAAAAAAGGAATGAAAAAATATGTTCTCAGATGAAGATAAAAAAATTAAAAACTGGAGTCAAAATCCAATGATACCACTTGGAGAAACTATGTATGTGGAAAATCTATTGTTAGTTGAATGTATAGATAATTAGAGAGTGTCAGTATTCTCTTCTTTACCCTTATTAAAATGGGAAGACTAATTCTAGACTCTTACCAGTAGTGAATGTCGATTTCATGATTGATGGGCTCTAAAACTAGTTGGGACTGAGCCTTTAGATGTCTTTGTACTTTAACTGAATTTGGGACTAAGGTTTAGTTAAATTTGATTTGCTAAAATGAAATCTAAACCAGTTAAAAACTCTTCTGCCAAAAAAAAGACATCAACAAAGTTAAAAAAACAAAATGGTTGAAAATATATTTAAACCTATTTATCAACTAGCTTATGTTTGTGAAATGCCAAGGGCTTTTTTATATCAGTAGGATAAATAGTGAGAATTCACAAAAGATCTGCATTGGTAATTTTCAAAAGAAAGACTATTTTTGGCTTTTAAACACACGAAAATGTATTTATCATATTAGTAATAAAGAAATGTATGTAAAAACAACGAGGGACTATTTTCACTTCTGAAATTAGAAAACAAAGACACATTGAGACAGTACCCATTGTTGGCAAGGATGTGAGCAAGTAAGTAGGTAGACTGATTCACTATTAGTGGGAATGTAATTAGTATAGTTTTCTTGATGGTTATTGCCAATGTGTATGAAAATTTAAACTGTGCATGCCCTTTTACATGATACTCTCATTTTTAGTTGTATCACATTAAAAATGACATAATTATGCAGAATGATAGAGATAATTATATAAATATCTTGGTTTATAATAGAAATTATAAACAATATAAATGTCTATTGAGGATGAATTAAATAAATGATAGTTAATTTATACAGTGGAATATAGCTACTAAAATGCTCTATGTGTATTTACAAAGAGACTTAGATTTTCATTATTAAGTTGAAAGAAAGCAAGATTGTATAGTATGATCTCATTTAACTTACTGTTTAGATTATTCCATTTTTCTTTCAGTTCTAAACTTTCCATTTGGTTCTTCATATCTTCTTTTTCTTTGCTGAGAGTATATATTTTTCATTGTTTCAGGCAGGCTCAGAACTGTTCAAAGATCTTTAAAATCTTTGTCAGATAATTATAATCCCTTTTTATCTTGGTGTTGGCATTTATTTATTGTTTTTCATTCAGCTTGAGAGGTCTTTTTGGTTCTTAGTATGGTGAGTGATTTTTTTATTGAAACCTTCACATTTTCAGTATTATAAGACTATGGATTCTGCTCTGGCTGGCGTAGCTCAGTGGATTGAGCGCGGGCTGCGAACCAAAGCATCACAGGTTCGATTCTCAGTCAGGGCACATGCGTGAGTTGCAGGCCACAGCCCCCAGCAACCACACATTGATGTTTCTCTCCCTCTTTCTTTCTCCCTCCCTTCCCTCTCTAAAAATAAATAAATAAAATCTTAAAAAAAAAGACTATGGATTTTATTTAAGCTTTCTGTTTTGGTTGGCTTCTGAAAGGGAACATGTGCCACCTTCTTACTGCCGTGTGGGGGTAGAAGTCTGGTTCCCCAATTAGTCTCCATTGACACCCAAAGCAGGGCCCCTCATAATTACTGAGTGGCTGGCGGTGAGAATTCTGGCTCCTCACAGGCCTCCACTGATGCCTTCCAGGCTGGCAGGGATGAGATTACCCTTTACTCCTGCTCACATGGTCCCCAGTGATTCTGCAGGGATCAGGTGGGTGGTCTGTTACTGCCTGGATGGGGTGAAAGCCCTGGCTCCCTACCTGGCCTTCTCTGACACTAACCCTTTGGAGGAACTTAGAGTTTTGGGTTGCCTCATTACAGCTTGGTGAAGGTGGCAGTCTAGATCTTTGCTGGTGTGGATGTGGGTGAGGCTATGATGTTTCCTGTGGTGTTTAGCTGAAGTAGAGCAAATTTTTTAAGTTTTCTATGTTGCTAGGCTGTCCCTTTCCCAGTCCTTTGGCTGAGAGCAGGCTTCCATTGGACGTTCTTTTTGTCTGCATCCATTGGTGTTTCTGTGTGACAGACCTCTTTAGCTCCAAGTTTGGGTTATATGAGACAAAAAGAAAACCCAGGGAGTTCACAACGACTGGGCCTGGAGGTGTCTAGCCAGTCTGCTTTTCTCCACTTTTTGGGATCATCTCATGTTTATT